TGAATCTATATGTATCTATATATCTCTTATAGATCCTGAATCTATAGCAATATCCTTGTGTTTATGTTGTTTTTCTTTTCATGATAATAAATTCATCTTTGACCCGAATTTTTTACGCAGAATGACGACGAAGAAGAATACAAGTACTCAAACTATTAAAACTGTTATTAGTGACGCAATAGAGCTTTTAACAATGCATTTACATCTAATATCCACTCGTTGTTCAAAGGTAATTATCAACCGATAAATAAAAGAAAATTATCAACTCAATGTCAACAATTAGTTTATTTATCAGATCTTACGTAACTCTGCCAGCCATTCGAAACATTTCCTCGATTATAATATCCTTACTGGACTCTATTCTTATTGTTGTTATTAACCACTTGCGTTGGCAACTGATTGCGGACCATAACGAGTACCATCAACACCGTGTACAATAATTCGTCGCTTTCTTTTTCAACTCGTCGGTATTGAGAAGTAATTTAATTTATTATTTGTTTCGCCTGGGTTATTTAAATATACTTAAAACTGAGAAAATATTGCAATTTTGGAACAAAAAATTCTCGACGTGCGTTAGAGATTAACCACTTGCGCTGGCAACTGATTGCGGACCATAACGAGTGACCAAACCGTGTACAATAATTCGTCACTTTCTTTTTCAATTCGTCGGTATCATATCACTGGATAGAAATTATTGAGAAGTAATTTAACAAATTTATTATTTGTTTTTCCTGGGTTATGCTTAAATATACTTGGAACTGAGAAAATATTGCAATTTTGAGACAAAAAATTCTGCGTGGCACGTCATTCCAGTGCAAGAGGTTAACCACTTGGCAACTGTTTGCGGACCATAACGAGTGACCAAACCGTGTACAATAATTCGTCGCTTTTTTTTTAACTCGTCGGTATAATATCACTTGTTAGAAATTATTGAGAAGTAATAAATTTATCATTTGTTTTGCCTATTTTGTTTGACTTAAATATACTTAAAACTGAAAAAGTATTGCAATTTTGGAGCAAAAAATTCTTGACGTACATAACACGTCATTTCAGCGCAAGAGGTTAAAGATTAATATCTCAATTGAAGATAATATACGAATTCACCTGTTTTTATGCAAACTTCGAGATTAACTTTCAAAACGTTGAAATTTCAGTGATCCCCGCGACTTTACAATCGGATTGTAAATAATTCAAGTGTATATCAATCGAATTCAATCGTTTCTTTTTGCAAATGCACTTCCAATATTCAACATTGATGGGCAAACCTTTGCAGTCAGTTACTCGAATTATTTGGACTCGGAAATAGACGAGTGGTTTTCAATGAATCGTAAAATTAAAAGGATTCAATGTTTCGTGGAAGATGAATATTTTCAGTTCACACGAATAAAGAAGCATTTCTACACAATATCTCTGATACGTCTTCCACGATAACGAAAGTAGGACAATCGTTGAACCGTTCGTCCGTTACAAATTGTTTTTGCGTTATATACGTAATATATAGGAAATTTTATCCAATTTTTTTTTTTTGTAATTAGAAAATTAATCAATGGTATGGAATGGCCGCGGCAAGTTATGCATACATATTCTCTAATTATTCGACACAGCTGATTTCTATAAAATCCTTTTGTGAATTTTGTGCATGAAATGAATTGTTCTTTATTGAATGACACAAAAGTAATTGTAAATGATTGTAAAAAATTGTGTACGTTTTTTGAAATTACTGTCTGTTCTATCAGTTCTGTAATACGAAAAAATCAGGTGGTTTTGCTGAGGAATTAAAGTAGTAAAATATTCAGTACATTAAAGTACATTAAAGTAGTAAAATATTCAGTAAATGGAAAATCAAGTTCCCCCTCTTTATCACATTATTATGTCTACTCTTATCGTGCAGTGACATAAAAAAAAAGAGATCAAGTTATATCATAATCAACAAGATTGTATGATATAATTCGCATGATGCAGTGCGATATTATGCATGATTTCTTTTAGGATTTGTAACGGACGTGATCTACAAAAATTAAAATCGTTCTTTTCCTTTTAATTATAGAGATAATAATAAAATAGGGTTACCTCGTTTTGAAGATAAAGTCTTGTGAGGTGAGATTAAAAATTTTCAATCAGGCGTTAATGGCAACCGCTGAAACTTTCGAAACCGAAATCTTGTCCAAAAATGTTAAAAATGTAATTGTCGACTTTCTAATCGCAAGACATACATACATAGGAGCAGTAATAACTGTTTTTAAATTAAGTATTTTTAAACGAAGAAAACTTTTAAATCATGGCCACGAAGTTAGACCATGATACGTCAGATAGTCGTGTGACACCATTACACACTACGAGATTCGCAGAAGAACGTTAAAAGACACTTATTGAACTCTGGAAATTTCGTTTTGCCTACGTCAATACCCTGGTTGACCATGAAATTGGGAAAACCCGTTAAGCGTTCTTACCTGGAAAAGTAAACCTCACAGCAACGAAAACGAACGAAACGAGTTTCGTCTTCTGCTTGTCACGAAGAACGATAAAAAATGATCACTGTGATTTTTCGGAAGAGATTTTAAAACCAATTTCGAGAAAAATCTTGATTTTATGATAAAGAGTCTGTTGTTTGTAAGAATTTTTTTTAAAACCAAGAAAAGATAATATTGACCGAGAATATTGACCGTATAAGAAAAACAGTTGAACATACTTTGCAAAAGTTCGAAAAAGTTATAAATTTCGAATTTTTTTTTCTTACTCGCCGATAGCAACAACAATTAATAATTAATCTAAAAAGTAACTTTTTACAGATTGAGAAAAAAAGAACGATTGTGTGTTCTTAATGAAACAGTACTTCTTGTGCAGAAAATTAATGTTCGTAAATGATGAAAAGAAATTAATGACAATTTGTTGATACGCTTCCCATTACAAACGCGAGGAAAAAAAAATTATGTGAAACGTATCATAAACACATAATTAATTTGAATTATTTTCTTCATACTTTTGCTTGAAACTAACAATTCGTATTATTCGTTTTAGAGATTTTGTAGAAAAAAATGTTCGCTCAATATTTAACAAAAAAAATTCGTTCGACTAAAGACTGTGTCTTATTGGTATTGTTTCAAAGTTACGTCAAGACTGGCAAGCAATAATTGTAAAAGTAATTTTGATAGTCAAGCAACCTGTTATATAAAAGCAACATGTTATACGATATTTCAAAGAACATGCTTCTTCTTGCACTATCTTGGTTGTAAATTTTGTAAAAATTTTGTAAAATTGTACAGCTGAGCAATAATGGAATCTCATGGATAATCGAATTTTGATTCGAAATTAATGAATCATTAGCCATGTGTTCACGAAAATAGGTCGTTCAGTTTTGAACTACTTTGTAAGCATTGATAAAAATTTCAGCAACCGAAAGAAGATACAGCAATCTGTTTTAATTTCTATCCAACGGTTTATGCCATAATTTATTTAGATTATTTAGATAGGTTTGAGAATATTCAGTACAATTTTTTTTTTACGTTTCTCTTAACTAAGAAACAACGTTTTCGTAAGGCAACTATTTAAAACTAAGGTCTTCGATGCATCGTAATTGTTTATATTACGGAACAGGCAGTCATCGCAAAAAATTAATTGTTATTGATTTGCTTATATAAACTAGTATTAATTTGCTTATATAAACTAGAACAACATATAAAGTGACGTATCCACTTAGATTAGAATACCACTAGTAAAAATGTACGATAGTGTTTCTCCGCAATTTTTCCGTGATTAGGTAAATCTGTTTTTTCATATCGCTCGATAAAAATAGATAAGCTGTGAATTGTGGGCGGTTACGTGTGGCCAAGTTGACCGAAATTTAACTGTTCAATATTCTTATGAAATTTTTCGTATAAATAACAAATTGCGACATGTGAAAATGTTATAATGAAATTAAATTATTGTGCAAGAATGTCCTAGCGATTTTCGAATAAAAAAGAAAGCGAGTCAATCGGCGTGAATGCAAGTTTCAATTCGAGCAACTTGAAGTAGATTGATCCAAAGGAGATTTGAATATTTCAATGTAAAATCGTGCAGAAAATATTTACATTAATTTGTCAATCGAAAATAAATTACCCTCGTTTATATATCTACATATGTATATATATATATATATATATGTATTTGCGAATTTTCGAATAATTGGACAAGAATCTCTATCATGGAAACGGTCATGAATGAAATACGATTACAAGTTATGAGTAATAATTTGAATGATAATCCAGCCTGTATTGGAATAACGCCCAGTTTTAGCGCCGCGATTGTTTGATCCATTTTCATCGCTCGTAGTAATCTTATCTTAAGACGAACGGTGGCTCCTAGTGTTATCTTTCCTTTTTGTTAACAGACTCGGTCATGGAATACGATTTTGCAGCGTAAAACAGCCATAATTATACAACAAAGGCACTGAGTATATTAAGGTTCGTTAATACGCACGATGGATAATGGACAATTTAAATATGAACTTTGTAAACGTAGTAAATTATTATCAATTTTCATATTTCAAGTAATCGATGCCAAAGAAGATTATTTATAAAAAGTGTTGTATAAAAATCATTCGTACAAACAAAACTGTTTATTAGATATAGAAATTAATTCGGCTTTGCCTTAAATTTTAAAATGCAACTCGCCACGTTTGTGAAATTTGTTTAAGAAAAAGAAAAAATTATTATTATTATTTAAAGAAAAATAATGTGATATTAAAATTAAAAATTTAAAGTTTATTATTAAAAAAAAACAAAAAAACAATATACTTTTTGAAAAATTTTCAATGACAATTTAAACGTGTCTGAATCGAGAACATCTCGACGAATGGAAAGTTTAGAATTGAAAATTTGAAAGAATTGCAAGAGTTATCGGACAAAGTATTCCCCTCAAATGCGAGAAGAACTTGTCTCACACTTATGAAATGATCCAAAAAAAAAGAGATAGATTACCCAAAAAAAAGGTACCGAATTAATTTATATATATTACATAATTTATAATTTATATTATTATAATTTCTCTCGGTTGGTTAAAGAAAAAAACAATGAATTATTCATTCACATTGTTTGATTGATTAATTCAAACAACAGGGATCCCAAAGTATTTTTCGCGATTTCACGCGAATATCCATTTGTAACGTGTCAGTTATCACAAGTGAAAGCATTGCTATCAGCATCCATTTGTAACGTGTCAGTTATCACAAGTGAAAGCATTGCTATCATTATCCATTTGTTATCTGGGTATGATCCCGTCTTGGCGCCCTGTCGTTCGAAAATGTCTGGAGTTCACGTTTGTGAAAATGTACGGCGCGTTCTCATTTGGGCACAAAAGCCTCTCGAATATCTCTGGTAGCCCCTGCTCCGTTTTATTCCCCACTGGTTCCAGCATGTTGTTCCACAGCAAATTCGCCCCTGAAAGCCAAACGACAGGTGAACGTCACTTGTTATTTGCGAGAAACTGAACTGACGTTTGCAGGAGGAGAAATGTGACTGCAATTATAATGTAATAACGAATACTGTGACGTAACGTGATGCACAGCAATTTAATTAATATTACAATTAAATATGTGACATTTAAAATTGAAGCATTCTAACGAATAGGCGTTAATCGAAATCGTTTGAGGGGGTAAATTTTACAAAACTCTATAGTTTTGGGGTGAAACACAGTCCTCTTGTCAGAAGACATTTAAAATTGAAGCATTCTTCGAATAGGCGTTAGAAATCGTTTGGGGGAGTAAATTTTACAAAACTCTATAGTTTTGGGATGAAACACAGTCCTCTTGTCAGAAGACATTTAAAATTGAAGCATTCTTCGAATAGGCGTTAATCGAAATCGTTTGAGGGGGTAAATTTTACAAAACTCTATAGTTTTGGGATGAAACACAGTCCTCTTGTCAGAAGACATTTAAAATTGAAGCATTCTTCGAATAGGCGTTAATCGAAATCGTTTGAGGGGGTAAATTTTACAAAACTCTATAGTTTTGGGATGAAACACAGTCCTCTTGTCAGAAGACATTTAAAATTGAAGCATTCTTCGAATAGGCGTTAGAAATCGTTTGGGGGAGTGAATTTTACAAAACTCTATAGTTTTGGAGTGAAACACAGTCCTCTTGTCAGAAGACATTTAAAATTGAAGCATTCTTCGAATAGGCGTTAGAAATCGTTTGGGAGAGTGAATTTTACAAAACTCTATAGTTTTGGGGTGAAACACAGTCCTCTTGTCAGAAGGTTACACGCTAGATCCTCTTTTTATTACAACATTTTCCGGGATTTTCCAAAATTATTGGGATCACGAACATTAGAAAGTTAAATAGCGACTTCGGACTCTTAATAATCTTCCAAAAGAAGTATTCAAATTTTGTGATTTATGCATAATGTTCTTATGCATATTGTATGAATTAACGTAAATTGATGAAACTTATTTAATAATACTTCGCCAAGTATAATCTAATTTACACAGAGATGCATGTTAATACACGACGAGATTCTATTTCCGTACGTTCAAAAGTGATTTACCAGAGATTACAGTTAACGATATAACAAGTACTTCATTCTATTTCATCATTTCATTTTAATTTGGATAGTTAAAGACGTGTTACATAAAAAGCACAGATAAGATATGCAAGTGAGGATAGGCGAGAGAGAGAGAGAGAGGGGAGAGAGTTCTCCTGTTACGGATTTGAAATTGCAACGAAGTGTTAAATTACATATTTAGAATATAAACTTTAGGATTAATTTGTAAAAATTCATGAAAACAAAGCTTGTACTTGTGCTTCTTTTCAAGTTGACGTTTAATTAATTAACGACGAAATATTTAAATGCGTATATTGTCACTGTCGTTATAATGTCGTTATCGCATTGTTAAACCGATTTTTTACGTTCGTCACGTTTTATCACGTTTACTGTTAATTATCTAGATCGGTCTCTCTGCAAAGTCACGGTTAATTTGCTCGATGTGACATGGCAAGTAACGAAGAGAAACAACCAGACACATTGTCTCACTGTCCAACAGTCCACCCATGACTTCTGATTAACTTCTCTTACAAAAAGTCTAACTAGTACTTGACTTTGATATACTCTCGTCGTTAACTGATTTGTTCTTTCGTTGTTCAAGACGAATGACGTACGACGAATCGCAATCGACACGTAGGCTTCCAAGATGCCGTTTAACCGTTGTTTTCTCGGCTGGGTTTCTCAAATGCTGGCAAAAGGACAGAGTCGAGCCAAGTATTATTATCACAATAGACGAAATTATCGAATAAAATAAAAGGACAGAGTAGCCAAGTGTTATTATCATAATAGACAAAATTATCGAATAAAATAAAAATGATCGTTATGTTGTTTTATGCTAATATTTTATTATTATTGTTATTTATATTATATTATTTATTTTATGATAATATTTATTATGTTGTTTCAATTTTTTTCAAGTTTGTTTCATTGTTACAATGTCTCCTAAATTTATGCAATACCACCTACTTGCACGCTATCGTCATGCTAGATTGCATACTTGTAGGGGCACATTCTTATCGGGGTAACTAACTTTCTGCAATACTCACAAGTTTTTAATTGAGATCAAAGATAATTAGAGACGAAGAAAGAAAAAAACAATTAAAGGGAATTAATAGTTGTGTCAAGAATGGTGACATGAAATATTTTAAATAAACAATGATTTTAAAATAATGATTGCAACAAGCAATGTACTTTTTTTATTGTAAAATATACAAAAGTCAAATATCCATCGTTATTAGGTTTATTTAAAAATGTAAGTTTCTTTCTTATCGAGGCAAACGATCATAAACTTTTGGACAGTATTGTAACATGACATTTACGAACGACCTTATTGCCTTTAAAACTTGACATGATAAAATTACAATATTGCCGGGAACTTTTAACAGGCACTGACAGTCTATTGAAATGCAAACTTCAATTTCATTGTGAATGTTGGTAACTGTGTTATTTGTCGTTTATGTTCCTACCTAATGCGTGTCCCTTTTGGCTGAAGTGAAAGCAGTCGTACGTCACTAGACTGGGGTCAATCGGTGGTGCTCTCCTTGGGTCTGCGTTCGGAGCGTTAAATAATTTAATAAATGGTTGCAACACCACTGTGAAATCTGGAGATTTGTCGTACCTGCAAGCAAAACACACAAAATTGTTCAAATATCCTAAGACAATTGTTTGAGCAAACTTTGTTTCTCAACAACATTAATTGTAAGATAAAAGTCCACCCATTCAGAAAAAGATTCCATCAGTAAATTTTTATGATATCTATGCAATTAATATATATTTTATATATATATTTCAATTATATTTTATTTATATTTATATTTATTAATTATATTTTTTAAATATTATCAAATATATAATACAATTTATTTTAACAATATATTTTAAATTTTTAAAATTGTGAAATTTCTTTATAGTTCTACGTACTAAATAATCGTAATAATATTTTATTACTAAATGATATCTGTTAGTCAACAACTTATCTTGTTCTCAACAACTTTACTTGTAAGATAAAAATCCACCCATTCAGAAAAAGATTCCACAGTAAATTTTTATGATATCTATGCAATTAATGTACATTTTATATATATATTTTTTTAATTATATTTTATGAATATTAATATTTTTTAAATATTATTAAATATATAGTATAATTTATTTTAACAATATATTTTAAATTTTAAAAATCGTGAAATTTCTTTATAGTTCTACGTAACCACAGTACTAAATAATCGTAATAATATTTTATTACTAAATGATATCTGTTACTCAACAACTTATCTTGTTCTCAACAACTTTACTTGTAAGATAAATAATCCACCCATTCAGAAAAAGATTCCACAGTAAATTTTTATGATATCTATGCAATTAATGTACATTTTATATATATATATTTTTAATTATATTTTATGAATATTAATATTTTTTAAATATTATTAAATATATAGTATAATTTATTTTAACAATATATTTTAAATTTCAAAAGTCGTGAAATTTCTTTATAGTTCTACGTAACTACAGTACTAATATTTATATTCGTAATAATATTTTATTACTAAATGATATCTGTTACTAAATGATTGCCAATGCTATTACATATAATTGCAAAAGATATAATGTTCTATGCAGATATTTATTTAATTTTAATTTCGTAACATCATTACAATTTATCACTTATCAGCTATTACCATTACAAGCAATGTACCTTCCTGAGTATATTAAAGCTTCGACAGCTTGCTGATACAGATGCGACATTTTTGAAGCGGCAATGTCCGGCCGATTGCCTCTGTGCATGCAAGCACAATAAAGTGGGTGCAATATATGGCACATGGTACTCCGTGGTATCCTAATAGAAACTGTAACGTCTGTAAAAAACAGAACCACTCTTCGATTGGTAAAATATTTTTTCGAACGATATCTCTAATATATATATGTATTATTTTTATTACCTATGACTGGTACAACATTGACTAACGTACGAGGTAGAACAGTTTTCAAGAAGTCCAACGTCCTTCGCAGATGAAGAGCATAACGAAGCGGCGAGAATTGCGCGTGATTGAAACATTCTGCGGAACAAATGTCATTCGCGCCGAAAAAGATCGTGATCAACTGCAAAGAAACACAGAGAAACGTTTGCAACGATGATTCTTATTTTTTTAAAAGCAAACACACGTGTGCAGCGTTTCATGCGAATTTATTTTATTGTCCAATTTTGAATCATGAAAAAAAAAAAAAAAAAATTGAAAACATATGTATTACATCGTATACAGTGGGGTGCAAAATTGAGTCAATGACAAAAATTTGTGCATATGCACACATATGTTGTGGGGATGTGTGACGGCAGATGGTGTTGCACAAAATTGAATGGATTATGAATCGATATATGTATAAAGACATTTTAAAAGAACATTAGCCAAATTGTATGCAAGATATGCCCTTCGCTGTAGAAGAAATCGTTTTTCAACATGATCCGGACCCGAAAGATACAGCGAAAAGCGTAACTAATTAGCTGACTACTCAGGCATTTTCGATCTTAAATTGGCCTGCACGAAGCCCCGACCTAAACCCCATCGAGAATGTATGGGGGTATATTGAAAAAAAAATTCTAAACGCATACAAATCTCCTCCTAGCTCAGTAGTGGAACTACTCATGCTCGTGTTATAGAACAGTGGAATCAAATGCCACCTGATTTCTGCTCAAGACTGTTTGAAAGTGTGCCAAGACGTATTAGAGCTATTATCGAAGCAAATGGCTTATGGACAAAATATTAAAGTATGATAAAGCTTGTAAATCTGACTATGAAAGAATTCTGGTGCAAAATTGATTCTACGTTTCTTAATTTTTTTCAGCCAGGAAGAAACCTAATCTTAAAAGTTAAATTATAGCTTCAGTTCCCTAAAACTATAGAGAATCAGATAGCCAAGTTTATTTTCATGTCTTTGTACTTTATTCATAACAATGAAACATATTTTTCGCAAAAATTTTTGTTGTTGTTGACTCAATTCTGCACCCCACTGTGTAACACCAGAATAACGTAATTAATTAAGGAATAACCTAATTAATTAAATAACCTAATTGAATTAATTATTTATCACGACAATTCGTATACCTTCCACTGTTTCTTCACATTTATTTTTGGATCCCTTTTGATCCTCTGAACGAGAATCCGCGCCTGTTGCAACGCGTCTTCCGTAGCAGCGACAGGGAACGCGATGTTCAGCTTCGCTCTCGCCGAGGTGAATTCGCCGGTGCCCGTTGAATATCCGATCAAATTCGGATTGAATATCTGAATGAAAGTGAGAAACACAACGGTACGTCGGATGCATCGCATGTTTTGCGTTTCGTTTGTGAAATTCGTTTCAAGGGGAAACGTGACGAATGAAATTAACGCGTTTAATACCTTTAACAAATTAGGGACGGTTAAGAATCGTCTCCAATCACCTTGACCACCCACACACCAACTAACTCCACGTGCTTCTATAAATGTTCCTATTGCAAACTCCTCCAGAGCTCCACTTCCTGCGACCAATGAGTCGCCCAGACCGCCGACTACATCTATGTCACCGGGCCGCAAACGATGCACGTTGTCAGGCGCAGTTGGTGACCTAAAAGAACAGGAAGCTAACTGAAGATTGCATTATTGCGCGTAATAATTACCGTGTCCACCACGCGCGCGTGTGCGCAATTCACAACAACAGTGCTTTTTAACGAGGTATTCTGCTAATCCAGCTTGTAAAAATCGACTTTTCCGGAATTTTTTTCTAAGGAAACCATGATACACTTTGGTACGTAGTTTTCGTGCACAGATTTATTCGTACTTGAAGAGTATTTACAATTTTTTTTTTTTTAACGAAATTAATGAAAGTTGTGGAAATTATATAGCCTTGGGTAGAGCATGTTTTTAATAAACGGGTTCGAATGGCTGACGTGATTTGAAACTAAAACACCAGGATGCATCTCTTTCGAAAATTAAAAGAATGGCGGTATTTTGAAGTTTGAATATCGATTTTCCTTCTACTTTTTGTCTTTTTGGGTGGTAATAGAAAATAGAAAGAAAACATCAGATTTTGAAATCTATGGTTCATGCGATAAATGCACATCCGGTGAGGATCTCCTCCAAATTTCAAGTCGATCGGTCAACTAAAACGTGAGATATCCCGTCAGCCAGTTCAAAAACTATGGATTTGAGAAAAACACATTTGAAGTTCTTGTAGAAAAATATTCATACTTACAATCGAGCAGTACAAAAAATGAAATATTATAAAATAATAATAATACAGAAATAAATAATAATATTATGAAATAAAGTATTTTTCGAGAAAAACACATTTGAAGTTTTTGTTACCCGTTTTTGTACGAAAATATTCATACTTACTTTGCGAGCAGTACACCGTTTCCTTTAAACAACTATAACTTTGCTAATTTTACGAATTCAAACAAATCCTTTTACATAAATATTTTCGAAAGCATATACTTTGAAAAAGTGTAAAAAAAAATTGATTTTTTTAAGCCAGATTAATGCAATAAAACATTATGTCACGTTCATAAGTTATATGTATTAGCGAAGGTTAGGATTTCAATCAAAAAGATTAGGTCTGACAGTTTGGGTCCAACCTTCCAAATTGCACGTCGCATGGAAATGGAACGTAATCGGGAACGCGAGGTTGATTCCTTATGCTACCGCCATATATCGCAGGATATGTAATTCCACCTTTGTCGACGTCGTCCTAAAAGAATAAGTTCTTTATATTTAATATATTATTAAATTTTTTAATTATATTATATTATTTTATAATAATTTAATATTTTATAATAATTTAATAATATATAATATATAATTATTTAATATTATTAACTTGTATTAATTTATAATTTATTTTATTAATGATCTATATTATTATTTAATAATATTATTAAATATTAATAAATTTAATAATATTAATATATTAATATAAAAATTAATAAATTAATAAAATATATTAATATAAAAATATTAATATATTAATAAAATATATTAAATATTAATAAATTTAATAATATTATTTTAATATTAACGAGCATCTCACAGAAAATTATAAACTTTACCATTCACAACCAGGACACGCGTAAGTCTCGTGTAAGACGTTACTCCTAACGGAGCAATAATAATTTAACACCAGTTCTTTATCGAAGCACAGTTCTTTTTCGATGAGCGTAGAATTGTGTCACATCCGGTATAGACACGATACGATCAGTTTCGATCAGGATTTCATTCTCTCTATCGATCGTCAGCGATCACCAATGGTTCCGTACATATAGAATACGACGCACGTCGCGGCGTTTTACTTTCTTTCGTTCATTTGCATTTGCAGTCGGATCGTGGTTTAAATACGGTGGCAAATAATTCGGACGGATAGCCGAGATCGGCTTTTAGTACTGGACGCGTGCGTTCCGAACGAACGAGGGAATGAATTTGGTACCGGTTTGTTCTTTCGTCTTGGCGGCCCAACGAAAAGAAAAGTGCTGGCCTTTCTCCAATTCCCCGGCATGCAAAGCACTCTTTTTCCTTGGCTGTCTAGTCGCCCTTCCGGTTTGACGTAACGTCTAGCTGACAATGTCACGTTAACACATCACGTCCCGGCTACGAATTGATATCTCACTCGATCTCAGTCGATATTTCATGGACTGAATGGCACGTTCTTTTCTTTTCTCTTTTTTTTTTCATTCAGCATTGATCAAGCGAGATTTAGTTCAATTTTACAAATATTTTGCAATATTATATATATAATATTGTAATTGCATTATTTTATAATTTATAATTATATTTTATATATATTATATTGTATATTATATTTGCAATATTATATATATATATTATATATTTTTATATATAATATTATATATATATTATATATTATATATATATATTATATATTTTGTGTGTGTGTGTGTGTTTAGAGAAGAGAACTACTCAACAAAAGGTAGTTCACGTAATGGTGAGTGATTTTAACGTGACAAATAATCTTTAACATTTATAATTATTATATTATTAATTATTGCATTGTAAATTTGAAATTTTAAAAATTTATTTCGTTTGTTCTCTAGGATTGCTTTTCAATAGGAAAAAATTATTCTATTATTACCATCGCGTGAGCTATATTTGTACAAAAGCTTGTTTGAAATTTCCTTTTTTTTTTCTCAAACTACCGATGATCACTCAACTTCATATTTTTATAAATAAAATTAGAGAAAGAATTAATTTTATTGCATAACAATTAACAAGTTTGACAATGAAATAAATTCCACAAGGTTTTACGAACTACAGGCCGACTGATTGCCTTTCCTAATGTAAAGTTAAAAGCTTCAACGACTGGCGTCTACAATTTACAACTTGTCATTTGTCAATTTCACTTAACATCGTCAATTCTTCGCTTAATACTACGAGGGGATTCAAATTTAGCATTTACTTGGCAAGAATTGATCAATCAAAAAGAAAGATGATAGTATTATAAAGATAATAAATAGAAAGAAGTAGCATCGTACAACCATCAATCAAAAAGAAAAATGATAGTATTATAAAGATAACAAATAGAAAGAAATAGCATCGTACAGCCATCAATCAAAAAGGAAGATAATTATAATGATATAAAAATAAAATAAAGATTATAAGATAATTATGAAGATTATAAAGATTGTAAGATAATTATGAAGATTATAAAGATTGTAAGATAAGTATGAAAATTATAAAGATTATAAATTAAATACGAAGATTATAAAGATTATAAGATAAGTATGAAGATTATAAAGATTATAAAGTAAATATGAAGATTATAAAGGTTATAAGATAAATATGAAAATTATAAAGATTATAAGATAAGTATGAAGATTATAAAGACTATAAATTAAATACAAAGATTATAAAGATTATAAAATAAGTATGAAGATTATAAAGATTATAAGGTAAATATGAAGATTACAAAGGTTATAAGATAATTATGAAGATTATAAAGATTATAAGATAATTATGAAAATTATAAAGATTATAAGTTAATTATGAAGATTATAAAGTTAATAGAAAGAAATAGTAGATTATTGCAGATTATTCAGCAGCTCTTACCCAAAAGACTCACCCTTCCCAACTCAAACACACTTCGCATGAAGTCCACGAAAGAACCAGCGACTGCTGGCAACAGGATGAAGATTAACGACAGATACTTCGTCTCGATTCGCATGGCGCGGCGAGCGGCCCGAAGGATCTCTGAAAAATCTCCGTTCTGTTTCGTCGAAGCTTTCTTTCTTTCGAGATTTATCGTGGCCGAAGATTTATTTCAACAAACTTTCTCTGCGTTCTTCGTATTGATATCACTGCGGTTGCCGAAAGCCTTGGACTCGAGCTTTCTTCAACGATGTCCTGGCACGTTTCACGTGACATACAGCCGTCGAAGAAGACTGCAAGTTTCATTACGTACACGCTGAACTTTACATACAATGATCCACCGTACAATATATTGCGTTTCATAAATGGGAATACCTGTTGCAAAAATTAAACAGAATAACCCCCCCATGTTAATTTCGTCGCTTTCACATTTTCTACGCACGGCTCTATTGTTTGCAAATAAAAGTAAGTTTTTGTTGCTTCTTTCGTTCGATTTGTTTGTTCAATTCGCGACGACGATTTTTTTCTACCTTTGACGGTAGAAACTTAATTGAAATGACTAGACTAGATTAAAGTGTAATAATTGTTTCAATTGTAAAAGAAAAAAGAAAAAAGCAGAGGAAAAAGTTTACGATAAAATGAAGAACTCGAATACTTATTCAACGTAAAATGCAACGTTGCAAATCGTTACGAAACTTTGAAATATTATAGATCGGCCATTTTGATCACTTTGATAGTTCTAGTGTTAACAGTGTTATATTTATTCAATCCAATTTATCGTGGTTGCCAAAGTTTGCTCTTATTTTAATAAATAAAAAGAAGAGTAGTTTCGTTTAAACGTTGAACGATTTCTCAGAAGCGAACGACCGATTTTAAAATGACTGAAATTGAAACAAAAATTTGGAACAACTCGGAAGTTGATTAAGTGGCGCTAAATGACAGTTTGCCATGCATGCCGCGCGCAACTTTCCATTGCTCCTAAACGAACGATCGTGAAATTCGATGAATCGGTGACCCTCGAATAATGGAATAGAACAGCTAACATTCAAACGCTGTTACACGTCTCAAATTGAAAAGGAAAACAACTTTCGTTAAGTACGACTTACTGAGGTACAAGAGATTTACATTTCAAGCTGAATCTCATCTTTACAAACTGTACATTATTCAGGAAGCATTTAAATACGCTTAGGATTAACAATTATTATTAATAAATAAATGTGAGACTGGCATTTAACTTAAATTTCGTTTAAAAATTAAGTTTAAAATTCCAACATTGGCTTGCACTAAATATAATAAAGATAATGAATAATTAAATTAAATGTGAAACACGCGAGAATTCCGAGACTGTTTTACTTACAAGATCAATTAAGGAATACAACTCAACCAGTCAGTCACCGGCAATTTATCTTATCATTTCAATCGCAACTACGCCCAACGATGCTCCATTTTATCTTGCACCCCAATTCCAAAGAGGAACTCATTCATGATTCTTCGCACTGCTTTCACAACCTGTCCTCTTCATCGAATAAAAAGACCGATTGCAACGCGACGATCCATCATTTTTTACTCACTTCTTTCGTATGCACAAACTAACGTATAAACTGGCGAATACGAAGGGATCGCGCGAAAGTACGAGGCAGAGAAATTGGTGTTCGTTGTTTTCAGTATCGGCGGAGGATGGAACAGAACATGAATGAAAACAGCCGAAGAAACATAGGTATGTATATCCATCGATCACCCCTCCTACTTTTCAGCTAAACGAAACACCTGCGTTCTTTCGTATTCTCGTACGGTAGTAATTGTACGTGAGTAAGAGTGGTGAGGCCAAAGTTTATTCTGTCGCGAACGTTTATTCGTACCACCAATGGTGGTTACGACTGCGACGTTAATGCCGTTCTCCTTACGTTTAAAAGCATCTCTATCTGTCCTATTCCTTTTGTTTGTGAAGATATTTCGAAATAGATCTACATAAATCTACATAAAACTGAATAATCCGAAATAAGCAATAGATCTATTCTTACATTTAGGCGAACGCGCAAAAAGACGCTTTCGTTATTGTATAAGAACGAAGAGCATATTGTATAAGAACAAAGTCTGAATCGTTATCTGCGACGGACAAAGAATGAGTCGTGTTGTTTTAATTGGGAAATGTTGTGAAAGTTAATATTCCCACTGTCGTCTTCTTTCAAAGTCAAAGTTTTCCAAGTCGCTGATCTCTGTTGCAATATTGCAAAAGATACACTTTTAATAAAATATAATGGAAATCATACTGAAAAGGTGTTTCTTCACAAGTAACTTTAATATTCAATTTCTCGTAAACTACGCTCGAATTGTGAATCAAAATCGAACGTTTATATAGTCAAGAACATCAACTTCAAGATACGTTTGCTTAAAATGCAAATTAACAGCGCGAAAACATGATGTTCATCATATATTTTTAACTAGAACATTGAAACTATTCGATCTACTATGAAGAATTTGTAAATCTTTATACGTGCATTTTACAGGAGAAATGAAACATAGGAAGGAAATTTAAGATCTAACAGAGAAGATGCAATTATAAAAGTTCACGTATTATATCCTCTTAATTAGTTTCTTTTGCAAATGAAAATTTATTCAATTTGTGGGCATTGAAACGCTAGCGCAACGTAGCGGTGAAACGGTAGAATTAATCGTTATTTCTGTCCTTGTCACATATTGTACAACGCGCAATATATGTCTATCTTTGTTTTGTACTGGTGCTCTCCTTGTCTGTTCACGGTATAAATCTGTCCTTGTCACACATTCGTATGCTTTTTGTCTCTGAAATTCGATTGGAACCATAGACAAGGTGTATGGATAGATCTAGCATACAATATATTTTTTTGTCCTACGATTTCAGAGTTCCAGCATTGACTAAAGATAGAATAGACAGACATGAAATACAGACTTCGTGTCTCAGAGTCTGAATTACCGACCAGGAAAAAGGAAATTACTGGTTTTTCAACGCTGCGTAGCGCTGCGGTGCAAAACCTGTCTAGATCGATATGGTAGAATGCGACACGAAAATGGTACGGAGATCAGGTGACCCGTGAAGCGTAGGATACGAAAAAGCATTAGATGTCCTGTCTATTCTAAGTAGTCAATGGTCAAATAAATCCTGCCTTCATTCAATAATTATACGATAAATATACTTGTCAGTAATGAGATCTGAACATTTTTGTCTTCCTATCGTCCAATTTACCTGATTTAAAACAAACATATCCCTCCGCAATTTTGCTTACAATTAACTACAGGACAAAATTTAAATAAAAGTTTAAAATTAGTTCGTAAAACTTAAATTTCGGGAATACGATATCTCATGGGTGCCAACCTGACGGAGTCTGAATACCAGTTGTACTTTCTGGTTAATCTCGATAGGGAGCGATGTGATCGCGATGGCAATACCGGCAGCCATCAGCCATCTCGCACAGTCTATGACAGAAGCGTCATGAAATCGTGGAAGCTTGCGATAAAGGCAAATGGCCGCCGTAGTGTACGAGAGCGGGTTACGTGTATGATGTTTTACCGCGAGCAGTTTTTTGACATACGGCGTGTAAAAGGCGGACGGGGTGATCGATCGACGAGAAGCGTGATGTGAACGGGAAACGTGGGCTCGAACGGTGTTCCCGTGGCCGGCGATGGACGGTGAGAATGCCAGTGCGGTGATGAAATCGGTATCGGAGGGTGAGCTGGGCGTGGAAGAGGTTAAATTATCGGAGCTAAAGGCAGAAGAGTCTGCCTCGCGTTTGAAGCGTACGTTCACGTTGCCGCGGAATCCGTTTCGGAGTGCCAGTAGGATGTTACGGCGACGTCCGAAACAGAATCGCGATACAAAGGACGGTAGTAGTGCGGCGAGCACCAAAGACAGGAACAATATGCAGCAACATCAGCAGCAAGTGGAGAGCATGCAACAGAACGTGGGCCGACTGCATGGCAGTCAAAGCTATCCGGATCGACCAGGCGTGAAGAAAGTGTTCCGAAGGCCCTCGTGGCGGAAGTTTATTAACAAGATGGTCCAGCACATGTCCAACGTGGGCACGCAGAACCACAAAACGTCGCATAGGGATGATTTCGGGTCCAGTGCCGGAGACATAAGGGTACCACCACCTAGGCCGGCGCACATACCACCTGACAGGGTGCCAGGGGTCATAGGTTTACGCAATCACGGTAACACGTGTTTCATGAACGCTGTATTGCAGTGCCTGTCGCATACGGACATACTCGCGGAATATTTTGTGCTGGACCAGTACAAAGTCGATCTGTCGAGGAGGAACAAACTGAACTCGAAGAAGTACGGGACAAAGGGGGAGATTACCGAGCAGTTGGCCCTTTTGTTGAAGGCCATCTGGAGTTGCCAATACGACCCGGAAATGAGCACGGCGTTTAAGAGCGTCGTTGACAAATACGGAAGCCAGTATCGTGGCAACTTGCAGCACGACGCTCAGGAGTTTTTGCTATGGCTGTTGGACAAAGTGCACGAGGACTTGAATCAAGCCACCAAGAAAAAATATAAAATCATCAAGGTGAGGCCAGTTAATTTTCTTTTTTTTTTTTTTTTTACGTTACGATAACACGTCTGTATCTCGTTCCATCTAACGAGCAGATTTATAATCGTTCGTAGCAATCGGTTACATAATAACACCGATACGAACGATCATTGGCCCAATCGTCATTATCAATTAAGTTCTCAGTTCTCCGATTTTTTTTTTTTTTTTTTTGTGGAATGGAGATTATGAATTTGCGGAGGCTCGAACTATTCGCAATTCGAATTTTCGAGTCTGTTTTCTTTCTTTCTTTTTTTTATTTGTTCTCGCGTGCACTGCGAGAAGGCGTGTTTACGCGAACGTCGCCTTGAGCGTATTTTATTTATTATACTTGAAAAAAACCAGAAGTGCCAGTCGATCGCACACGGTCGCGATCAGGCCTTAACCTAAATCTGTTTCACGTACGTGCCGCGTTTTCTCAACGATCCTGATCGAAATCCGGACGAGAGTGAACATTCCAAAGAAAAGAAAGGTTAACTGGAGATCGAGCGTTTACTGTATTAAAGCATGAAACTAGAGAATGATACAATTTGTATTCATAAAATTTTATTTTTTTTTTATTAATATTATACGTTATATACGTACTTTTTTCAAATATTTCATGAATGTTTGCTAACTAACAGTGAGTTATTATGAACTTTGATAATTCATCAGATCTTTATGATTGGTAACTTACTATTCATCAGATTTTTATGATTGTTATCTGTACCTGATATACCAAATCGATGCGACTATATATATCGGGCAATTATTGGAGATAATTAATACGAGAAATGATCTGGCAAATCAGTTGTCACGGTTTTATTTCACGTTGCAATTCGAAAATTGTCGAAATCACATCGAGGCTATTATTTTTTTAACGCAGCTATCACAAGCGCGATCGAACGTAGCAGAAGATAAAGAGAAACAATTCTTATCGATAACGAAATAAAACAGATTCATCGGGACATAAGCTGGTGGTATATATTTTTCAGCTAAAAATAGTTGGCATTTTAATAAATCGCGAACTTGATTGGTGAATCGCTTTTTATGCCAATGCATCGTGTAGGAAAAGATAGGGGATAGTAAAACAGAGATAGGACAATTTTAGTTCGCTGATTCACCGCAACGAGATACCCGCCAACGATAAGTGACGTAACAAGAAAAAAGTGCGCATCACGTAGGCCGATTAATTGTCCGTTTTCGCAAGTTCTTTGTTCGATATTTATTACTTAACGGACATTCTATCGACACACGATCGACGACTGATTTCATTATTTTTATTTTTTTTTTAATCGATCGTTAAATATTTCTTCTTTGTAGTTACACGCGCGGATGCTGTGTCTCTTTGTTTAGCTGGCTCGAAACGACACATGTTTGCGATTACATGAACGATGAGATAACAGATGAAGGAAAATGACTCGTGAGTCATCCCGCATTTCAAATAAAAGGCAATCAGAATTAATCGGCCATTGGTATTTATTAATGATACGATCACTCACGTGAAAAATATCTCGGTCATTTATGTCATTGAATTTTTACGAAAAATAATTTCCTTCTTCAAATAGAATTCCGTGTTTTTTCGATTTTTTTTTTTTCTTTTTTCATAACGTAAACAAGGCTAACGTATATTGCTTGTTTATCGAACTTTAGAAGCAATATCTCACGAAAGGGTGTAATTATAAGTAATATTTTTCAAAACGGATAGTACAGTGTTACAGTTGAAAACGAAACACATTTGTCGCATAGGAAAGCAACGGTTGTTGCATGACAAAGGAGAAAATGTGAAATTATTCCGGGCGTTTCGCTTCTGAGTGTTCATTTTCTTCGCTGGTGAGACTAATAAGCCTGATGGCCAACGATGGTAAGATTTAATCGGTATAACCATCTGAACAGCTGAATTTCTTTTTTTAACGCATGGTATGTACTTTCTATTTTTACGCGAAATCGTCGTTAAAATTTTATTGTTCTTCAACTGCGTGTCTCTGCGCCTTTTCACCCACCGTTTCAACTACCAAATTTTAGACGTAAATTAGGGTAAAGTCGATCGTCTTTTATCGACAGTGGCTGGTAAAAATATTCACTTATCATTGTGATAAAAATTATCTGTTTGAAAATATTTGACACATTTTACCACAAGTTGTTATCAGCTTGACGTATCACTGATTCTTTTTTCTACTCTTTTTTCGCTACTTCATCCTCTAGCTTCACTCGATCCGTTATCTTATCAGCCATTTCTCTTGCACACTGTCGAAGTGTTTGTTTGGCATCAGATAAGGAAACGATCTTCGGCGAACGAGTCGATTATCCGGATCAGAAACTGACAATGTCCAACATGTCGCGCCTGTGTGACTTGTTAACTCGCTGCCACTTGTGCCACTTTTTCGTAACTAGTTTTTTCCTCGAGTGCCCTTCATCGGCCACGTTGACCGACTTCTTCGAAACCGGTCATTGAAACGCCTTGAAAATTCGAAGATGCTCTCCGAAAGCGTCAACTGTCTATAGAAAGTCGCTACATTCGTACAAGCTATTTTTATCATGCTCAACCATATTTATGAGTGGAATTGTGGAATTTACTCTTTCGTAAAGAATTAAAATTTTGAAAAGAATGTTACTTTGATAAAATGTGCAATGTATTTGAGAATATTATTCAATTAAAAAAAAAAAAAAAAAAGAAAGAAAATAAATCGAGGCGATAGATACATGAAATTTACATACATTTGTGTGTAACATAATTTTAAACGAATCCGCCACCTTGGAAAGTAATCGAGACAGATTTGACGCTTCTCAAAATTCACGAAGCCACTCGAACACGTGCTAAACACAATGCACGTACAGTAGTGACTTCATAGCTGACCAGACTTCAGACCTCGTAGCTGGTCAGCGTTTATCCTCCAATCCTTGGAATTGGGACTATGCTCACTCTACACTATCATGCAGCCGCGTGAAACATAACACTCGCGCACACACAAAACAAGCGATATATATGATCCACGTTTTTTCGATGCCAATTCCTGGAATACACCAATCCTCGTAGCTGCCCAGTTTTGGCCCCGATTGTTGGTCAGCTATGAGGTCACTATTGTATTGTTGACCCTGAGATGAAATCGTTAACTCTCGTCACTTCGAAATTAAAACAACACGTTGCTCGCATTATTATTTGCGTATATATGTGTATATATATATATATATATATATATATATATATATATATATATATCAAAGTATAATAAAATATATATAAAATCAAAAATATACATATAAATATAAATATATATACAAATCAAAGCATAATAAAATAATGAGATTTCTCGGTCTTAATTATCATATAGAAAAGTAACTCACACTAGTTGAATAACAATTTATCTTTCACAATTAGAAAGCTTTGGAGTAGCATGTACTCTAACCTGACGCGTAACAAAATAAATTTGTTCTAACTTTGTTTCCATGTGTAACTAAAACACTGTCATTGTATCGTGCTTGAATTGATTGATCAGCCTTCCTAAATTATAATCAAGTTTTATCACTTGCCTCGTGTGTCTTGCCACAGGCAGATTCCATACATTATCTACAAACATTCTTATCTATTGTTGCCACGATTGCTACGTATTTTCACGCGACATAGTTTCTAAGCGTTTTATTAAATCGCGTCGCCTGAGAACGAGCATGAATGAACAAACGCCACGTGTCTCCTCAGTCGATCATTTTACGAATCTCATTACCGATGATTTCTCTCTCCCTGTCTTATTCGTCGTACTTTTGAGTTACGCGCTCGTTCGTGACATGGTCGAATAAAATTTCCAGACGTCCTTCGCCAAGTTTTTTTTTTTCTGTAAATGTATGCCAGCGAAGCGTGGATGGATTTAAAAAAACAGTCGGGAAAATGGTAGAAGGTGGCAAATGTTTGAATTCGAAACACCGTGACGTTACTGCATCTTACAAGAAACTACCTTCAGCGAGGCCATGAGAGCGTGTGCAACGCGATGCGTGTTTTTATGTCATAAAAGGTCGTCTCATTCTGACAGATCACAATGAAAATCCAAGGAAAATTGAAAAGTAAAAGCTAGAATGGCAGTAATTTAAAATGTTGTTTGTAATTAAAATTATATTATATTACATATTAAAATAAGCACACGTTAAAATTATATTATATTATACATTAAAATGAGCACACGAGAATTCCAATTCTATTTCAGTATAATTTCAATAATCAAATGCGTTTTTTTTCTTTCTTTCTTTCTTACGAAACGGATACCGAATGAAAAAAAAGAAAAGACAATAAACTCGTCGACAACGTTAGGTCAAATATTTGTTGACAAACAAACGATCAGCAACGTGCATCCGCCTTTCGAGCATCTTGTTGACACCGAAGTATCATTTTCCCATAAATAACGTCATACGTTTAAATTCAGCTTGGAAAGTGGAGACGATAAATTGATAAATGTACAGTTTTTCTCAGACATAGTGTAATGGCGTGTACGTACGATTATAATAAGAGAAAATAAAAGACTATGACTATATTGTTATTTGATTGTTGATCGCGTGCTAACGATACACAGTGAAGATGATATGGCACTAACGACGAAACAATTTGCAAGCTTAACTAATTCCTTTCAACAGAATGTGTTATTTTCGTGGAGTATTGCACATTAGTCACGACGATATAAGAGACGATCGAATTAACAGCTGTCCAAATTAACAGACAAGTCCAAATTTCAAGGTTAAAAAACTGTCACGTGATTGCATTCCAGTTGGAAATGTGATCCATTGCTTTTGTTAACCAAATTTTTCGACTAGATATCGTACCAGAAAGAATCAAGAATAAAACTCAAGGTTTACTCATTGTTATTTTATCGCTTTTATCACTAATATAGTCAAGTAATTGGTTTTTAATATATATATATAAATATTAAAATTTTAATATATATATATATATGTAATACAAATAAAAGGATTAAAAAGCTTAAACATTTTTTAAGCTCGCCCATCTGAATAAACAAATTCCTGCTTGTAAACAGATACCCAAATTATTAGCTCCTGAATATTAATTGCTTAAACATAATTAGTCACGTTTTTTTATATAAGCATAAACAAGTTCTGATTTCTCAGTAGTGACGTTGTTAATCACGATGTGTCGTTTCTATGACGACCTTCGCGCAGTATTACGCATACCAAGCCGTAACATCGAATTAATTATTATTTCTCCGCACGTCTAGTTTCTACTAATCAGAGTCATATAACCCTGGTGTAATTTTCATCTAATACCGGATTATCGCGGATTTGCGATGAAAAAGAAAAAGAAAACAAAAGACAAACACGAAGAATTTTTTAGGAATAATATTAAAACAATTTTTTCTTGATCAAAACATATTTTATCAAGAGATGGACATCGACAAAATATTACAATATAATAATATAATAATATTATAATATACAATGTTAAATAATATCCAAATATTAAACATTACATTTGTCTTTATTGTATTTTAAATTTACAAATTTTAGATTAGAATCAATGATATCGCGTTGTACACTCATCTTTTCGCGATGTCGATAATGTTGCATGTACTGAAAAATACCGATGGAGAAACTCGAGTACTTTCTGATTCCTACCACTGCGGCATATTTCAACGCATTCCATGGCTGTCGGACTGAAAAAGAAGTTAATTATAAGTTACGGGTCGAGGGACGTTGATTGCTACTGTTACGTAAGGAATGTTTAGAGAAGCCACGCTTCCTGCTTTTTGTTTTGCGGTTTTGTAGGAAGCGAATGCATCGACGCATCAATATTTGTTGTAGTCTGTCCTTACCATCAACAGGTTTCGATGAATCGTTTCGTGAATCATTTTGTTTACCCTTGAAATAGGTCATTGGGAAGTGAGAGGCAGGTTGAGGCATGTTGTACTCGTACTCGACTTGCGCGTGGGTTTCGTAAAAACGTATATATATATATATGTGTGTGTGTGTGTGTGTTCTCTTTAATGTTTTAATGTTTCGTATCGAATGTATTAACAAATAAAAGATAAATGCAAGTTAAAATTGTAAGTCAAAAACAAGTAAAGAATTGATTGAACTGCGCTGGCAACCGATTGCGAACCATAACGAGTGACTGAACCGTATACAATAATCCGTCGCCTTCTTTTTCTTTTGAACTCGTCGGTATGATACCACCGGATAGAAATTATTAAGACGTAATAAACTTATCATTTGTTTTGCCTGGGTTACATTTAAATATACTTGAAACTGAGAAAGTGTTGCAATTTGGGACAAAAAATTCTCCACGTGCGTGGGGCATGTCATTCCAGCGCAAGAGGTTAACTTACATGTGCTATAAGGATATAACCCGAGGTTTGACATTGCGAGAGTTAGTAAAAAAAAAAAAAAAAAGAAATGATTTAATGAATTTTAATGGATTCCGTAAGGGTTAGCGACCGCCTGATCAACGCATGTAAGTACACGCGCACCAACGTGACATTGACCAATTGTGAAGTTGCGAATTGTAGCGTGAGTCGTTACAACCTGTAAGCATCGAAAATTATTTCCGGCAACCGGATCGGCGATACATCCTGTGCGCAACTTTATAGTTAACGTGTTCTGCGGTTTCTCAACATTTACGAGGAATTATCACTTACAGCAAATGATGTATTTGCTTTTATTCAATTCTTAATTATCTTCTTTCGTTAATTTCAATAAAAACAAAATAGAACGCCGCTGATAAATTCAAATCATTTTTGGCGGCGTTTAGCTCTGATTAAAGCTTCTTTTAATTACACGAAACATGTATATATTTTGTTGGAAAATGATGCAATTGGAAGGTCATGAAAACACCAGTTTCATGATCCGATTAAAAGAAGCCTTCCATGCCGACCGAGCACGCTATTTCAAGAATCCGATGATCTGAAGGGGCAGGAGGGGGAAAACACGCGAAGCTTATGGCGCATTTCGAAATTACTACCGACGAGATACTAATTGAATTATCACTCAAAAATTTTTGATCGACGTAAGGTTAAAATGCAAATACGAAGCATCAAAACAGATACACGTGTATGTTTAATATATTTACGAGTAAATATTATGTAAAATATTCAAATAGAACCTGTTTCGATATTAAACACGTTTGTGCATACTCGTCAAAAATAAATTTTGTAAATTATCGCTGTCGCTTGTTGATGAACATTGTTACTAGAAATCAGATCGAACGCGAACTTGTGAATTTTAGCGAGTGAACGACAATTGTTTGGTGTTAATCAGGATACATCACTTGCTTTGCTTCTGTCAGGTCTGTTACGAAACCGAAAAGTGCAACAGACAGATAACAACGAACTACCGGTAGACAGTTATTATTAGAACGAATGTGTTACAAATGATCCGTCTTTATGTATCTTGAATGATGAACTGTTTGTACGGGGATTGCATGTCTCGATTCATCTTGAAACAGTTAAAAATACACAGGCTTCCGTGTTGCAAATAAACGTCCATGGACATTATCAAACATGGCAGCTATATCAAATATATTCTTGTCTGTATGGGATACGACGAAAATAATACCTTTTAAAGGAACGTGGAAAATTTTCAGATAACGAAAACTTCATGTTTTGTTTTCTTCCTTTCCTCTCTTCTTCTCATAACGAATCGACGAGTCAATTTTTATTTTTAAAAACAACGAACACACCGATTACGTTAAACGACAAATATTTTTTTATTCCTCGCTTTCGTCATTTGTATTGTACCATGCAACTGCAATAAATCAAATTGTCCGATAAAGTTTTACCATTATTAAGTAAAGTCTTTTTTTCATTTTTTTTTTTTTTTTTTTTTTTTTTTTTTTTAAGCAAATTAATTCGTCCGATTTCTCATCTATCGATTATCGTAAAGAAAGAATGTTCTTAAACGCGGGTGTACAGAAATCTGCACGGTTATTTGCATTTTCATGAAACATTATCGATATTCGTAAATAAGAATTAATTATTTCGTCATTGTTTCTCAAATGATCGTAAACAGAGTTTTTGGTAATGTTAAGTGATCAATGAGATTGCCAAATCTAACCTTTTTTTAAGAACAACGATACGAAATACAATTCTGCTCAGTAATTTTTAATTATGCTGATAAAAACGTTTTAAATTTAATTTACAGAATTCGTTCGGCAGACCGGATGACATTGTCGCGGCGGAAACCCTGGCGAATCATGTCCGCTGCAACAATTCGTTTGTGCACGCGGTGTTCCAAGCCCAGTTTCGGTCTAGTCTAACTTGTCCAAGATGTCATCGACAATCGAACACGTTTGACCCTTTCCTATGCGTGTCAGTGCCTGTACCGCAAAATCACCGGCAGATGAACCTTTTTGTGAATGTCCTCTATACGTCGCAACAACCACGGCAAGTGAAGATCGGCGTGAGCGTGAACCAGACGGCCAATGTCAGAGAGCTGAGAGAGATACTGGCCAGCGACACCGGCATCGACGAGAATCACATGTTACTCACGGAAATTCACGACGAAGGATTTCATAGGTAAAATTATATCCTCTGTTGAAAACGAATGACTTAATCAATTAAATTAAACAGTATTTTATTTGCCGTTTTTATTTCATTCTTCGCAGAACATTCTGCGATTGCCAACCTTTATCTGTGATCACGGAAAACGACCCGCTTTATTGTATAGAACTGCCACAATTGAAAGAGCCAGCGGAGCAAGCGTATATCTTACTCGTCTGGATTAATGTTCTTGTAAAAGGAGACTTGAGGCAACGTTTTGGCAGTCCATACACCATGCAAGTGTCTAGAGAAACGTCGTACGAGGATCTACAAAAACTTTTGCTAAAGGAGATGCACAGTGTTCTGGCTGACGATGTTCTTACTTCGAGTCAGAGTCCTGGATTATTTAACATCCGCGTGGCGGATCCCGCTGCAACGCCTATCCAGGATGAGCATCCGTGTATAGATCCCTGTGTGGAACATCCCCTTTACACGGAGCAGATCGAGCAAGCGTTGGCCCTCTGTGCCGATGACTCCGGCCCTCAGCATGTAAAATTAATTCTGGAGTGGGACGAGGCTACCAAGTGTAATATTATTCAAGACGACAGTGATCAAATTGAAGAGCATGCCAGTGTGAAGCAGTTGAAAACGAATTCAGAGCTCGGCGGAGCTGTTACTTTGGAAGAATGTTTCGATCTGTATACGAGAGCAGAGATATTAGGGGCAGAGGACGCGTGGCACTGTCCGTACTGCAATAAGAAACAAGAGGTTGTGAAGAAATTAGGACTTTGGTCTTTACCTGATATCTTGGTCATTCACTTGAAAAGATTTCGACAACAGTCTAAACAAAGATCCACGTCCAAATTAACTATGTTAGTCGATTTTCCTTTGTACGGTTTTGATATGACACCCCATCTCGCTCATAGTGGAGTTCAAACGCATAACAACGTTAGTAGTTTAGGTGGTCTAGGTTGGTCACCCTGGAAGAAACCTAGACCTCGTCAGCAAAATATTCCAAAATACGACGAAAACGTTTACGATCTTTATGCGATTTGTAATCATCACGGGCAAGATTTACAGGGTGGTCACTATACTGCGTTCTGCCGGAATCCGTATGATACTCAGTGGTATTGTTTCGATGATACCCGAGTAGAGGCCGTGAATGATACCAATTTAATAACAAATGCCGCGTACATGTTATTTTATCAACGAAGGGGATTGACTAATAATTCTGGAAACTCTTCGGCTGCTTCTACAAGCTCAGCCGGGTCTGGACTTGATCACTGGGTCTCGAAAATGCCACCGTTTTATTTCAACAATAAGACTAATAACAATGTTTCCAACAACAATCAAAGCAAATCGCAGGAAGTGTTATGCCAAGATAAGATTGTGGAGGAGAAGAACATAACGAATTTCAATAGGGGATGTCGCAATTATGCTACTTTACAACCGAAGAAAAGGAACGTTGCGACGGAAACGGATATCGGTCAGATTGATCATTACTCGGACGATGAAGCACCGTGCAGAAGAGAATGGGTAAGTTCAGAAGCAACAGCGTGTATATTTTTGTACTGCGGACAATTACGAGTATAGTGTCTTTTTAATGTATGCTTTTAGGCCTCACCGAAACCTGTTCGAAAAATGTCGTCCATTACGTTAATCCCACAATCTACGATAATTCACAGTGCCAGTAGTGATCCAGACACAACGATAATACACGAGTCGACATTGTAACACACAATTTAAGCCAGATCTCATCTGGCTTGAGCAACGCTCAATGTTTAGTGCCTGGGACATGGTGTGTGAACGATCAGAAATAAATTAGAATTGGAGAGTATAAAGACAATTTTTCGCGAAACTTAAGTCCATTCGTTTCGTATCGAAGACTTAATATAGTCTGTTTAGAAAATCTTTCGCTCCGAATTTATACATATAAAGTTGCTTTTCTTTTTTGTATTATCTAAACATCAACCGAGCAAAGAGCCTCTCTAATTTCTTTTGTTTTGATATTAAAAGGAAAAAAAATAAAATAAAACTGTGACATTAGACGGATGTTTCCTGAGAATGTAAGTATAACTGGAGGCATTAGTGATTTTTGTATTTATATCGTGTTTACACAAATTGCGTGAATTGTATTGTACATTCTAGTTGTTAGAAAACTTTTTAAGAAAAGGACAAATATTATATTCAGTATCAAAAACTACGAATCCCTTATTTACAAATTGTCTATTGTTAATACTTAGATCTTCAACGCAATAGGTAATTAATGTTCTACATATGTCCAGCAAGAATGTACGTGTGTCAAAGAAACTTTGTACGCGATTTTCTTTTTTCTTCTTTTTTTTTTTTTTCTCTCTCCATTTGCGATTCAGAGATCGCATACGTCGCGTTACAATGAAACTATGACAATAACTGAACCTTGTGCGCAACAAGATTCACGTATTACAGAGTGACTTCATTTTCAATAATAATTCTTGCCTGGACATACTATGTAGTCGCTAACCATTGCTTTGAATCTATGCTTAATTATAATATTTATATTATATTTGTATCACCCACTAGTGGCCTTATCTCCATAATTAACATTGATATGTCATTTGCAATCATACATGCATACTTACCATTTCGACGGCGTTTTATTACAAAACATTGACATTATGTCGTGAAAGCCACCAAATTATATAACGTACTCTTTGGATTCTGACAAATCGACGACCAAGAAAATCCATACTTCCATTTTCAAAGTCTCGTTCTTCCTACAAACAATCGGCGTAATTAAATTTTATCATTCGGAAAAATGAGATAGCGTGTCGGTTCTTAGGAGAGTGGCTTTCTTAATATATCCTTCAGCGATGGTTTCCTTTCTTTCTTCTCTTTTATTGTCAAATACTCTAATCTCTCAGTTGCTACGATCATTCCACTTGAACGTGTTTCTGAATAGAAGATGATGGAAAGCGCGGAAGCATGAAAGTGAAACAGATTATATACGTACACGTACACATATGCACATAAGTGTATAATTTGCGAGTGAAAGATATTTAAGTTATTTTAAAAGTAACATTTACTGCTAGTCACACGTATCGTGGACAGGGGGTAGCAATGTGGGCAATGTAACGAATTAGAGATGCAATTCAAATTGAAAGGTTGAAGTAAACTAACGTGAGGTATGTTCCGGTGTGTACGTAAACAGATAAACGGTTCCTGCGGCGATATTAGGCCAAATCAAGTGCCATGATGGTCCCGGAGGTATAATACTCAACAAAAATTTAAATATATATTCATACTCGATCAGCTGAAAGGGATCGTTCTCTTCAAATCTAGCAATTGAAAGCTTCAGAGTCTTGTAAATGAATAAATCAGTTATATATTGGATAATGTGAGTTACAGTAAAATAACAGATGATATTTCTATACGTATTCCAATTACTGGACTTGAAAACAAACATCATGTCAGATGACCGAGTATCGTTTAGTTAAAGATAAAACGTTCCCTTCGTGGCACTTAATTAACTCTGTGGTTGAATGAATGTTGTAAGATGCATGATGGAAACAAAGGAAAGCCGCTACCCGTTCATTATTCTATGATTTTAGAATTTTGTGCATTCACGTTAATCGACTGAGAGATACGTTATCAATTATTCATATTATCCGCTGCTGTTTTTTGTTGAAGTAAAATAGAGAATATATGTATATAGAGATGAAGAAATGTCATTCCACTTTGTGCACGCTGAATTATATCAGTGCTTTGATCTATGATTCTAAATACTTCGCGTTTTTTGAAGTAATTATTGTTGAAGCTTGTTACGTTTAAAAGGTAGACATTAATTGCCACGCTTTTTATAATTTTCCAAGAGCACGCGTGGAACAGTCTCTCGTATCAATTGAAAGAAAAAGAAAAAAAAAATTAAAATGAAAGAAGGTATCGACCAATTGTACACTAGTCTAATATATATTTTATTATAGCCTGCGAAATACACGATAATTTGTTGTAACAATGAAACTTATAAAACGGACGAATAACAGGTTCATCCAATTTTATTTTAATCACCAATTCATGGATCATAGAATGTAGATCGAATAGATGAGAAATGAAATTTGAATTCGGAACGAAACATTGTATAATATTATTATTATTCAAGTCTAATGTAAAAAGTTTATAAATAATTAGGGATAAAATAAATCGTAATATACAGAGATTTGTCAATAAAAAGTAATATTCATACGTAAAGTATTTGGAATATAGTAATTTAAAGAAAAAAAAAAAAACGATTATGTATTTGACTATTATTTACATTAAAATTCGATTATAAAACATGTGTTCGTTTTAGAAATATATCGACCCCTTGATATTTAAATAAAAGTAGCCTTTATTTTCTTATGAGGAAATTCGGATATTGTGTTTTTTTTTAAATTATTAATTTGTAATAACAAGTATATACTATTGATGTGAAATAAAAAGATAGATACAATTTGTATGAAAAACATATAGCGATATGAGGAATTAAATTCATAGAATTTATTCTTCTACCAAATATTTCATTGTTTCGCGCCATTTGATTACCACTATTTACATTGATATTCGTATAAGTGCTGAGCAAAAGTTGCATGTCACTTTCGTTCTGTCTTTTATTAAAATTTTTAATCTTTCCATTTATGTTATTTAATATTACCAAGTATAAATTAAATATTCCTTTTTTTATCGAACACAAACTTTTATTCTGTAAACAATTTTAACATTTTCATTCACGAACTAGCAGGTAATCATTATTAATAGCATTTAAAATAATTTAAGACAATGTCGCATCGATATAACAAAATTACAAATTTTATTTTTATTTTATTTCTAATTATTTGATGAATACAATATTGTAAAAAAGTTACGTAGATATGTGAAAACCTTGTTTTATACCTATCTCATATCTTTACATTGTGTTCCATTTTCTCACTATATTCGATCTGTCAATTATCGATTGTGATATTTTTTTAAATTACAGTTATTCACATCGTTATATCTACTATTTATTGGATAACAAAATTTAATCTAACTTGTTTAAAAACATTTCTTAAAACAATCATCTAGTGTTATCAACATTAACTTCAAGCTACATTGTTGTCAATACAGATAGCGAATGTTTTATCTTCTAATAATCGAGAATGTAATTAAATATATTTAATATCTCAAAACTCTATTAACATTGATATCAGAAGCTTGGGAATATTTAATTTGTAACACATGTAATGCAATACCCCCGTTTATTGCATATAATAGTAGAAACAGAAGAAATGGTGACAAATCCATAAGTATGAACCATGAAACGTATCGTTGTTCACAATGCACTGAAATTCATAACATATTCGTTGCATAGTAGAGCAAAGAGACTCGAGTGGTTCTGATATTGCACGGTCTGCTCGAATAAATCGTCTCAACTTAGCGGAATATCACGAATAAGTTTCTCATATTTCACACGTTGCAGCACAATTTTGGGAATTTGAATACGATTAGTGACAGCGGACGATGTCATCCAGTGTTTACCAAGCAATAGAAATCTCTCGACGATATTTACATCGAGCGGAACAATTCATAGGAGCAAACTGTATAATACATCATACGAGAAAGATGGAATTGCGTGCTAGTACGTGGGATTGGCCGTGGCGCCACCCCACTCCGCGAAGGCTTTCAGTCGAGCTCGGGCCTTCGTCGGGTGTGGAGTGCGTGTTGTATCGTTTTGTGTTAGTGTTCAGATTATTCACTGAAAATTCAGGTAAGAGAACATTTTCGCTCAGTAGCTAGCCAAATACGTAACAACGGTACACACGTTTTCAGTTTATTCGACAATAACAAACCGGCGCCAGCGAAGCCGGCGAATAGGCTGCGAGAAAAATCTTTAACCACGTCCTCCCGTTCGCTACCGTTTGTTAGCCGACATTGCTCGGGAACGGAAATGCGTTTGCGATCGCTGTTTCGATGATTTCTTTGCTCGTTGCTCGAAAACGTACCGGATCTGAGTAACCGTCGGCGTTCTAACGAAAGCAACAACAAGAGACAGCGCCTCTTCCACGAGAGACAGAGAGAGAACGTGGTGGCGCTCAGAGCCGTCTTCGTGTGTACTCTCGGGATCGATACACAGTACACACTTGGCGCGACGTTCGTGTAAGGTTACGGTTTTGTACGGGATCGCATGCGGGTGTGTTATAGCCTCTCTCCACGCTTGTCTCTCGCGGCGTCGTCGCGTCGTTTCGTTGTGTTACGTGCATGCTCTCTCCTCCCCAACAACGAGGGTGGATTTTCGGTCTAGCTACGAGAAAAAAAAAAAAAAGAAAAAATTCAAAGAAATCGAGAACCGTAGAGTACCGTCGGTACGGTATGCGGGCACCTCGTGAAACGCACCCTCACCCGAGGCTACCGCGCCGGCAACCGATCCTGAAAAGAAACGCGTGAGAATGACAAGTAAGTGCTGCGAACGTATTCAAAAGGGGGGGGGGGGGGAATTCAGTGTCTGGCATCGTGAATTACGATAATGAAACTTGTCGCGTAGTTTTTCTTCTCCGGTGAGTTACGTAGATAATATTACATTATCATTCGATTTAAAAGATAACGTACTGAAATGAAAATAAGCCTTTGATTTAATCGAGCCATGCTCGTAACAGGTTGTGGTCGAAACATTCGAACAGGAAGTATATTTTCGTCTTTCATGATATGAATTCAGATCCGAAATTCAGAATTCGTTTCATTTCAATTTCAAATTTTTTTTCTGGTTCAGGAAACTTAAAATCGTAGTAGATATTCGAGTGGTTTTTATATTAGCTGCAGCGTTGTGGAAAGTAATAATCGATATTAAGAAATGTATTTTATCTTGTCTTTTCATAAACATTGCAAACAGTTTACTGATACAGTCATGTTATTTCCATGTACATACGATTAATCTTTTTGTGAATCATTACTCTTATAACATGACGTAATGAAAATAATTATTCAAAGAATTTAGAAGCAGACTCTATTTAAATTCGTTACTTTGCAACACAGGTGGTATGGGATAAATTACTTCATGCAGAATATCGAATATTGACAAACTAACACTTTACTTTCACGCCAAAAGTCCACTTAGATTGAGCGTTATTTCGACTAAAAATAATTTCACTCCTGATGCACCTCTTAACCTCGATGGAGAAAAAAAAATAGAAGCATTCATATTTGACGATAGTAAACGTAGCGTGACAGCGTGCAATAACATGAAGCAAATTTTTTCTCCACCGTACTACAATAACCTCCGCGCTACTACGTTCCCTATATTCCTATGCTGAATTTTTAACGAGAATATTCTCTATTTTCCTCGCAAGAGGAAGTCGGAGGTAAGCAACGGCTTAGAGACACGTAGTTGTCTCTGCGTATCGAACGGATCCGACATTTTTTCGCATGCTCTCCTGAAAGTCCGCACGACGACCGAGCACTGGATAATCATAATATGCGCGACCGATTGTGGGAACCGAAGAACCGCAGCGCGCACGACTGTCTCGGATTAGAATAGGTTTCGCCGAGCCGGTGACTTTTTACGTAATGAGAAATTTCAATATTTTAACCTATTTATCAGTTCAACGAGCAGTCACGTTTATCGCATACATCGATATGAAAATTCATTGCCGTTTTTATTTCCTTCTTCTATGTTCTCGTTGGATGTACGCGATTGTAATTCGAAACGCGAGTGTGACACGATATCAGAAGAAAGATGAAGTTTATTTTTATTAATTGTCTCTTTTCTGTATATGTTTCTTATAGAAAGTTTCTTATTAATGTGGAAAATCCTTTGTTAGCTTATTTTTATTAATTTGTAAGTTTATTTTTATTAATTATTTTTATTAATTTGTAAGTTTATTTTTATTAATTGTCTCTTTTCCGTATATGTTTTTTATAGAAAGTTTCTTATTAATGTGGAATGTCCTTTGTTAGCTGCGATTATTATTATTTAAAATTGTTGCCTTCAATAGGCCCAGTTGCGTAAAACAGTCTGTGAAGCGTCGTCCGACTCACCTATGACCTACACTTTACAATGCTATTCACGCGTGTTAATGTATAACCTATACGTTGTACATCAAGAATCCCGGTTGTGCGTTTTTTCTCAAAGTATCTTATATTAACGTGCATTTTTTTCTCAGTGTGTTTCTCTTTTTTTTCAAAGTATCTCATATTAATCCTATTCGAAATGATAGAATTCCTCAGTTTTAGTTTTCACAAAAATTTGACAGATTTACAATATATCTTTGGAAATTAGTACATGGATAGAGATTCGTTTGATAATATATTAGTAAAATTATCGGGAAATTTCGCGAATGAAAACAAGATAAGACGTACATGTTTGAATCGTTAGTACAAGTGCGTTTTTTTTTTTTTTCCGTTGCTAAAGCAACCGAGATGGCGCGACATTACTAACCTTTGTAGCGACCTCTACTTCGAAGAATTTAGATCAACGACATCCATGTTCCGTCGAGATGTATATTTAATATAAACAATAGAGTATTTAAAAATAGCTATTAATTTTATTATCACCATGGAAATGTTTACTGCCACTTATATATATTGTAGCCATA